ACAAAAGTAATTAATAATTAAAATATTAAAAAGAAATTTTAGTTTCAGTAGAAAAATTCATTTTCAGTCAGACTAAAGTATTAATAATTAAAATATTAAAGAGAAATCTTCGTTGCAGTTAAATAAAAAATCCTATTTTCAATAGTAAAACTCAGTTTTATTCAGACAAAAGTAGTTACTAATTAAAAAATACTAGTTTTAGTAGTAAAACTCATTTTTAGTCAGACAAACGTAGTTACCAATTAAAATATTTACAAAAATCCTAATTTCAGTAGTGAAATTCAGTTTAAATTAGGCAAAAGTAATTAATAAGTAAAATATTAAAAGGAAATCTTAGTTTTAGTAGTAAAATTCATTTTTAAACAGGCAAGGCCATAAAAAATCCTTTAATTGTTAATTCAGTAGTAAACCTCATTTTAAGTCAGACAAAAGTAGTTAATAGATGAAATATTAAAAGAAAAATTCTTAGTTTCAGTAGTAAAATTAATTTAAAGTCAGACATTAAAAAGTTGAAAATTAAGTCTTAAATTAAATTAAAAAAATTAAATTAAATTGTACTAACTAAATTAAATTGTAGTAAAATTAATGTTAAGTCAGATCAGTCTATCACAAATTGTTTAATTGTACTTTTAGTAGTAAAACTCATTTTTAGTCAGAAAAAAGTAGTTAAGAAATAAAATATTAAAAGAAAACATCTTAGTTTCAGTAGTAAAATTTATTTTAAGTTATAGTCAAGGCGATCAGAAATTGTTTCATTCTAGTTTTAGTAGTAAAACTTGCTCTCATACCGAAGAATTTTATTGTTTATGATAATAATTGAATGATTGCTAAAAATTTTATTAAAATTAAAAATAATACAATAGATATCTGTTTTATAAATATAATAATTAGATTTCTGAAAAATAAATTAATAAATTTTCGATTTTTCAAAAGTTCCACAGTTGTCTCTCTAAGCCCTTAACGAGAAACATGATGAGAATTGAAAGACAATTTGCAGGATTATTGTTGAAATGAGAAAATTTCGAAATAGACGTTAGTTACTGACAGTGCACACGGGGTATAAATCCGATACAGAAGAGAGCGAGGGGATGGAGTAATAGACTGCAGGAAATACGTTAAGGCGTACACACGTTATAACACAGCATATAGGGAGGGTGCGAGGGGGGTGGTTTGTGTGCGGGACGGCGCGAAGAATTACGTTTCATGTGTGCAACGACGTTCACATGCGGAGCTACCTACCTACCTTGGCATTATACTTGCTCTCGCCATTGCTCACAGGGGCTAAAATTTAATATCCAACACGAGCGTGTGGGGTAGCCAGAGCTAAAATTTAATATCCACAATATAACCTTACTCTCCACTTACCACCACATCTCGGTCGTGTTGAGCACTGGACCATATTGCTGTTTCACTCGCATAACTATAGAAGAATTAAGTTCGTCCCGCAATTCTAAAAGAGCCAGTTTTATATCCTCCATTCTACAATTTTCATTCCCATATCGTTTACCGCGTCAGAATCGTGAAAGGACTACTAATAAGGATGCAATCTTCTCGTTGGCAAGAGAGCTCTTCAAGTTACTTTATTTCACTCTTTTTTTCAGTTTTATTCACTTTCTTCTTTTTCTTTTTCGTTTCTAAAATTCATTTCTACAACAATGTTATTATATTAAAAAAGAATTTTTATTTGGCTTTTTCACTGTCACTGAAAAATTTCTTGATACTTTTTAAAAGGGGATTTTTCCTCTCCACGAGTTTCAGTTTCAAGCTAATTCAAATGTTTTTTCAATTTTTCGTCCACCATATTGGATCCGCCATTTTGAAATTTTTAATACTGGCATTAGACTCAACCTCCACCTATTAAATATTAAGCGAATCAACCATAAGACTCAGTAATTAAAATATTTTCATAAATAATAAAACTCATTGCAGAATTTCAATTATTTTTTATACAATTTTATTCAAATTAATTAAAATATTTTTAAAAATCCCATTTTTAATAGGTAAAATTACTATCAGGCAGACAAAAGTAGTTAATAAATGAAATATTAAATGAAAAATCCTATTTTCAGTAGTAAAACTCATTTTCAGTCAGACAAAAGTAGTTAATAATAAAAATATTTTTAAAAATCTTAGTTTCAGTAGTAAAATTCATTTTAAGTCAGACGAGGCTATTATAAATTCTTTAATTGTACTTTCAGTAGTAGAACTTATTATTTTCAGTCAGACAAAGTAGTTATTAATTAAAATATTAAAAAAAAAACTTTTTCGTTTTATTAGTAAAACGTATTTTTTGTCAGACAAAAGTAGATAATAAATGAAATATTAAATAAAATATTCTTAGTTTAAGTAGTAAAACTAATTTTCAGTCAGACAAAACTAGTTAATAATTAAAAAATTTTTTTAAAATCTTAATTTCAGTAGTAAAATTTATTTTAAGTCAGACAAAAGTAATCAATGATTAAAATTTTTTTTAAAATTTTAGTTTTAGTAGTAAAATTGATTTTAAGTTAGACAAGGCGTTGAAAAACAATTTAATTGTAATTTCAGTAGTAAAATTCATTTTAAGCCAGACAAGGCTATAAGAAATTTTTTATTTGTATTTTCAGTAGTATAACAACTCATTTTAAGTCAGATGTAAGTAGTTAATTTGTAATTAAAATTTTTTAAAAAATCTTAGTTTCAGTAATAAAATTTATTTTAAAACAGACGAAACTAACTAATAATTATAATATTTTAAAAATTTCATAGTTTTAGTAGTATAATTCATTTTAGGACAGACATGGGATCAGAAATTATTAAATTATAGTTTCAGTAGTAAAACTCGTTTTCTGTCAGACAAAAGTTAAAAATTAAAATTTACTGAACAAAAGTCTTAGTTTCAGTAGTAAACTTTATTTTAGGTCAGACAAAAGTATTATTTATGAAAATATTAAAAAGAAATCGTAGTTTTAGTAGTAACATTCATTTTAAGTCAGACGATATGATTGGAAATTGTTTAGTTGTAGTTTTAGTAGTAAAACCCATTTTCAGTCAGACAAAAGTTGTTATTAATTAAAATTCAAAAATAATTTTTAGTTTTAGTAGTAAAATTCATTTTAAGTCAGACAAAAGTAATTAACAATTGAAATATTTAAAAGAAATCTTAATTTCAGTAGTAAAATTCATTTTAAGTCAGACAAGGCGTTGAGAAACGATTCAATTGTAGTTTCAGTAGTGAAACTCATTTTCAGTCAGACAAAACTAGTTAATAATTAAAATATTTTTAAAAAATCTTTGTTTTAGTAGTGAAATTAATTTTAAGTTAAACAAGGCGTTGAAAAACAGTTTAATTGTAATTTCAGTAGTAAAACTCGTTTTTAGTCAGTCAAAACTATTTAATAATTAGAATATTTAAAAAAAATATTTTTTTCAGTAGTCAAATTCATTTTAAGTCAGACGAAAATAATTAATAATTAAAATATTAAAAATTAATTTTAGTTTTAGTAGTAAAATTCATTTTAAGTCAGACAAAAGTAATTAACAATTGAAATATTTAAAAGAAATCTTAATTTCAGTAGTAAAACTCATTTTTAGTCAGACAAAACTAGTTAATAATTAAAATATTTTTAAAAAATCTTTGTTTTAGTAGTAAAATTAATTTTAAGTTAGACAAGGCGTTGAAAAATAGTTTAATTGTAATTTCAGTAGTAAAACTCGGTTTTAGTCAGTCAAAACTATTTAATAATTAGAATATTTAAAAAAAATCTTATTTTCAGTAGTCAAATTCATTTTAAGTGAGACAAAGGTAATTAATAATTAAAATATTAAAAGGGACTCTTAGTTTCAGTCTTTCAGTAGTAAAATTCATTTTAAGTTAGACTTAAAATATTATTTTTTTTAAATCTGGTTTATTTTAGTGAATTTAATTAATTTTAAATAAAATATTTTGTTAATTTGTTTTTTCGAACCATTTTTAATATTGATAATAGAATTTTCAGAAATCTTTTTTTATTCTATTATCAACAAGATTAAAAAAAACAATTCGAAAAAATAAATTAACAAATTATAAAACTTGGCCAAAAATCTCACATACAAACATTTTGAAATAAAAAACTGCTTCTAAAAATTCTATATTATCAATAAAATATTTTGTTGATAAGAAATTTTATTTTGTTAAATAAGAAATTATATTTATTAAAATTCCAAAGTTTTTCGAATTTTCTTTATAAAAATTTGCTAAAATCTTTTGACTAAATTCAAGAAAGGACGAGCGTATAAAGAGAGCTCAGTGAAAACCTAAAAGAAGGAAGGGAATTTTTTTTCAAAAACATCAAAAGAAGAAGCGTGAAAAGAGTTGAAAAAAGAAACTTGCTTGTGAATCATCTACTCGAAATTTTTCCTGCTTTAACAAGAATAGAATCGAGTTGATGAAAGGTTACTTTGGAAAATCGTTTTCAAGAGTTGCCTCTCGTTAGTCTAATTTGATTTGACAGTGAATTCGTTCAAAAAGTGGATGGCAATTTGAAACGAGAAGCATCCAATATAGATGCAACCATTTCGCTCATGTTGGATATTCCAAGAAGCTATTTCTCATATTATTTGTTTTGAATAGTAAAATTTATTTTTTATTCACATTGTTCTTTAAATTTCTTCAAAACAAATCTGTTAATAATAATATTAATCATATGATTTATTAATGATAATAAAAATGAGAATCTAGGTAATAATAATAGCAAAATAAAGTAATAATAAAAATCATAATAATAATTATTATTATTATTATTATTATCATTTTTAGAGTGAATCAGAATATTTTTTGGAGTCAGAAAAAAAATTTTAATTTTGTCTGGAAATCAGGGAAATGTTAGAGAAAGACAAATTCTAATTTTCGTGGTAACCCTGAATAAGAACAAGAAAAAATTCAAGTCAAAATTAAATAAAAACAAAGAAAAATGTATTAAAATAATTGTTCGATTAGTACATTCATTAAAGAAGTTATTTAATTAATTCTGTTTTTTCAGATGGAAAATTTCATCTCCTACCAACGGGAGAACTTCTGGTTCATAGTCTCGAGTTTAGTGATCAATTTCCGGCTTACAGATGTCGAACAATGCATCGACTCACAAGACAAGTTGTAGTTAGTTCCGTAGCTAATGTCAGAATAGCAGGTAATATTTTTTATAATTTAAAATTGCTTTTATCTCGTAAAAATTCATTTTTTTCTTTAATTGGAAAGAAACATTTATTCTTTCATTCTCATTACAATTGAAAAATAAAACAACAAATAATTGAAAAATAATTGCTATTTTATTTAAAAAAAAAAAAGTATAATTTCATTTGTTCTATTTTACAGATCATCGAGGTGTAATGCCTCCCGTAATTCTTGAACATTCAGGAATTGTGCACGTAGCTCAAGATGAATCCACATCATTAGTTTGTGTCTCCCAAGCCTGTCCGACACCAGAATACAGGTAATTTTTATAATTCAGAGTACATTAGCTTAAATATATTACACAAATATATTACGTGACGAAAGAAACTAAGTGAAAAAATCCACCCAGAAAAAAAGATGTGATAAAAGCAAAGATATACTAAAGGGAAAATAATCTAAAAAAGCACCGCTAAAAAATGTACTAAAAAAATAATTTACCAAGAGAAATCTACTAAAGAATTAATTTAGGAAAAAAATCTACTAGAGAATTAATTTACCAAAGAAAAATCTACTGAAGGAATTGAGGTTCTAATCAAAAAGAGATCTTTTTCTCAAAATAAATTTTCAACTTTTTTCTCTCTGGCTTTTTTTCGATTTTTTTTTGGGCGATTTTATATTTGAAAAGTTTTTTCTTCTCTCTCTCTCCTTTTTTATCGAAACTAATTCAAGTTGAAAAATTCATTAGTGCGAACTTTTTCTTCCGCTTGGAGAGTCACGTTCATGCGTTAATAATCAAAGAGACATTGCTGGGGCTATAAAGAGGAAATTATTCCCAGCTATTAATGAAAATATTGAATATTTATCGGACGACACATATTATCGAGAAAAATATATACATCTATTTGTTAATACGAGTTAATACGAGTTACGAATGCAGCTCTGATATTTTTTTTTCTAAATATATTGGTTTCGATTCATTCGATTGAACATTTTTCAGTCGTACGTCAAAATTAACTTTTTAGATTTGTAGAAAGTTTTCCATTAACCTTTTCACATCGATAAATAGGAAATTCGATAAATATCTATTAAAAGTATATGGTACATACGTTTTTCAGGATCGCTAATTACGAATGTAATGTTTAAGTGAATTCAGTTGATTTTTAATTTATTATGTTCGACATTTTGTATTTTCAAAAACTGACATTTTCTTAAACAGTAACCTCAAAAAACCTCCAAGTAATGTATTTCAAGCGAATGCAGTCAAATTTTAATTTCAATGTCCGCCATTTTTGATCCGCCATTTTGAATTTCCAAAAACTGACCTCAAATTCGTCTTAAGCGACCCCAAAAATCCCCGAGTGACGAGTTTCAAGCGAATTTAGTTGTTTTCAATTTGGCATGAATGTAATTTGACATAAGGTTTATTTAACATAATTTCACTTGGCATAAAACTCATTTAACATTTAATATAAAATTTATTTGACATGAAATTTATTTTACATAAAAAATTATTTAATACAAATTTTATTTGACATGAAATTGATTTAACATAAATTTATATTTGACATAAAATTAACTTTCCTTAAATTTCATTTGACATAAATATATTTTGATAAGAACTTCATTTAACATATATAAATTTCATAGGAAATAATGTTCATTTGACATGAATGTCATTAGACATAAGGTTTCATTAACATAATTTTACTTTACATAATAAAACTCATTTAACACAATTCCAATTGGACATTAAGTTTATTTGACATAAATATCATTAGATATTTAAGAATTACTTACTAATTTCAAGAATTACTTGAAATTAATTTTAATTGACATACATTTTATTTAACATATTTTTCATTTGATTTAATTTTGAATTTTAATTTCAAGTCATTCCATATAAAATTTATTTGACAAGAAAAATTATTTAAAAATTGTATTTAACATGAAATTCATTTATAATAAATTTCATTTGACATATAATTCATTTGACGCCGATATTTTTACATGTCAAATAATCTTTGTGTGAAATGAAATTTAAAGCAAGAGACTTTTATGTTAGAGGAATTTTTATCAAGGGAATTTTATGTTAAGTTAACTTTATGTCAAATATGAATTTTGTGTCAAATAAAATTTTTATCAAATAAAATTTATGTCAAATTAAAATTAACATTAAATAAATTTCAATGTTAAATGACATTTAAGTTTTTTTATTTCACAATAATTATGTGTGAAATAAATTTTGTGCCAATTGAACTTTATGTGAAATGTACTTTAATAATTGAAATTTTTTGTCAAGTAAATTTTCGTGATGCAACTTTTATGATAAATGAGAATTATGTTAAATACCTTTCATTTCAAATGGACTTTTTGTCAAAAGAATTTTTTATTAAATAAAATTTATGTCAAATGAATTTTATGTCAAAATGAAATTTATATCAAATAAATTTAATGTTAAATGACTATTTTGTGAATCGAATTTCATGTTAAATAAATTTTAAGCCAAATGAAATGAATATTTATTGTTCTATGAAAATGTCCAATGATTTTCATGTCAAATTAATATTCTTGTTGTATGAAATTGATGTTAAATTATTTTCGAAACGAATTTCAGGGTAAATTATTGGCCAAAAAAATTTATGTCAAATGATTTTCATGTCAAATAATATTTATGTCAAATGAAACTTATATTAAATGGTTTTCATGTTAAATAAGTACAGAGTATTTTTTTAAGTAGAAAAAATAGTTTATATACCTCTGGGCTTTTTTGTAAAGTTTTCTGTATTTATTTCAAGTGTTCGTAAAAATTATTTTGAGAAGAAATATTAAAATGCTCTCGAGTTAAGATAAATTATTCACAACTGCGTACATCTTGACATAATTGTTAAATTCTCCAGAGGCTATTTTTATTTCGTTTCCTCAGTATCAATAGATGAGAAAGTTTGGAAAAATTGAAAAAAGAATGTCTGATTCGAATTTCAAGAAAACAGCTCAAGGGAAGAATAAAATGTCGATGAAGTCTATATATACCTTGGTACAGAATAGTTTTGTAGTGTCGACGACCTACGACATCGAGAGCTTCCGATTGTGGCACTCGTGAGGTTTTACGATCGTGTGCTCCTACTTTTTTTCTTCTATCAAAGTCTCTCCCTCTCTCTCTCTCTCTCTCACTTTGGAATCTTTCCTTATTTTTCTTCTTCGTTTCTTTACTTGTAGCACTTCTTCTTTTTGCCTCCTTCGATTTTCAAAGTGATCGTTTTGTCCCGTGAGATAGAGAGAGAAAGAGAGAGAGAGAGCTATATATATAGTGAGTGAATAGTGACGACAGGAACGGTGTTTTCGAGGGTTTCCCTGGAAGCTCTCACGAACCGATTCAAAGTTCGTATAACTGAGGTGGGTTGTGGCGGATGTAGAACCTGCTGCTGGAGTGTTGATTTATGTGCAAGAGAGGCTTCATCTGCTTTACTTACTTCAACAAAACCCGTTACTATATAGTTATACGTATGAAATTCTTCTCGCGAGGTTTTTGCACTTTTATTATATGAAAACCTTTTGTGGTTCATAAAATTTACGTAAGTTGCGTCGTATAGTGGGAATTTATTTTTCAAAACGACGTACTTTCGAAAAGAAAATTCACATTTATCCTATTTTTTCCTCTTTGATAACTTAAATAACAGAACCAACAACTTTTTTTTGTTAATTCCTTTCTTAGTCCCATGCATCATCCTATTCTACATTTTTTATTTTTTAATAAAATTTCCTTTAGGAGGAGAACATAGTCAGGGTTAGACGGTATTTTTTAAATTAGATTAGAACTCGCGTGGACAGGAAGTAGGGTAAAAAATGGCAAACTGTGCACAGGAAAAAAAAAGTCTGACTCCGTTTACACCTTAAATTCAGCCCATGTATTTCACATAAGTCTGTCCTTGTTTAACGGGGCTGACTCCGTTTACATCTTAAATTCAGCCTCAAAAATAGGCTGAAAGTAAAACTTTTTTTTTAGTGTGTGGATAAAGATTGTCGAAATATGAGAAGCCAAACTATTTTTCTCTCGTATTTTTAAACTGTGGGCAAAGTATGGTAAACTATTTTTTTGTACATTAATTAAAATAAATAAAAAAAATTTTGTTTCAGCAGTGAAACAAAATAAGTTAAAATAAGTTACGTCTCTTTAATTCAGACATGGATTAATTGTAGTTTCAATAGTAAAACTTATTTGCATTCAGACAAAAGTAGTTAAAAATTAAATTATATTCAACAAAAGTCTTAGTTTCAGTAGTAAAACTCATTTTCGGTCAGACAAAAGTTAAAAATTAAAATATATTCAACAAAAGTCTCAGTTTCAGTAGTAAAATTTATTTTAAGTCAGACAAGGCGATAAGAAATTTTTTAATTGTAGATTCAGCAGTAAAATTCGTTTTAAGCCAGACAAGGCGATAAGAAATTTTTTATTTGTAGTTTCAGTAGTATAACAACTCATTTTCAGTCAGATGTAAGTAGTTAATTTGTAATTAAAATATTAAAAAAAATCTTTGTTTCAGTAGTAAAATTTATTTTAAAACAGACGAAACTAACTAATAATTATAATATTTTAAAAATTTCATAGTTTTAGTAGTATAATTTATTGTAGGTCAGACATGGGATCAGAAATAATTAAATTATAGTTTCAGTAGTAAAACTCATTTTCTGTCAGACAAAAGTTAAAAATTAAAATTGACTGAACAAAAGTCTTAGTTTCAGTAGTAAACTTTATTTTAGATCAGACAAAAGTATTATTCATGAAAATATTAAAAAGAAATCGTAGTTTTAGTAGTAACATTCATTTTAAGTCAGACGATATGATTGGAAATTGTTTAGTTGTAGTTTCAGTAGTAAATCCAATTTTCAGTCAGACAAAAGTTGTTATTAATTAAAATTCAAAAATAATTTTTAGTTTTAGAAAAAAAACTTATTTTCAGTTAGACAAAAGTAGTTGATACATGGAATATTAAAAAAAAAATCTTGGTTTCAGTAGTAAAACTCATTTTCAGTCAGACAAAAGTAGTTAATAATTAAAATATTTTAAAAAATCCTACCTTCAGTAGAAAAATTCATTTTAAGTCAGACAAACCTAGTTAATAATTAAAATATTAAAAAAAACTTCTTACTGTCAGTAGTAGAATAAATTTTAAGTCAGACAAAAGTAGTCATTAAATAAACTTTTTTAAAAATTCTTAGTTTCAGTAGTAAAACTCATTTTCGGTCAGACAAAAATTAAAAATTAAAATATATTCAACAAAAGTCTTAGTTTCAGTAGTAAAATTTATTTTAAGTCAGACA